CTTGAATGTAGTTTTCTTTTATTTGTACTTAGAGTAGCTATATAGTTAGCAGTTTAATGGTTTAGCCCTGACTGCAAGTGTTGGTCTTAGCCATAGTATTTATATAGAAAATTACTTTTTGTACATAGCAGCTCCATGTAGCTACTAAATTTTAAACTACCAATAAAGATACGAGCAAGGCCTCACCTTAATACCAAAAAAAAAACTATTAAGTAGTATAATATTACTAAAAATTTAGATAAAAATTAGTTATTTTTTACCAAATCCAAAATTTAAATATTTAGTAATAAAGGTAACCTCTTTGGTTTTAACTTTTTATATTAAGTATATGTTTTATACAAACATATCTATATTAAACTATTAGACAAATATACAACTGGCTACACATATAACATTTCTATATTACCTATTTAAGAAGTTCATCTGAGAGTTCTTCATCAGTTAACATATCTAATACCTCTGTTTAGATGTTTTATTTAAACTTTCTAATCTGATCTTAGTATTAATTTTACCACATTACAGATCTAGATCTATTTACTTTTAATTATAAGATTATAATTCTTAAATTATTTTTATTCTTAAAACAAATCTATCAGAGCAAACTGTATTCTTTTTTATTATTAATCTAATTTGACACTATAGTCAAGACCAACACTTGCTTGCTGAGTTAATTATTAAACTGCTATTATTCTTGTAAAGTTTATCAAACCCTAATATTCATCTTTCTGACTTATTCTTAATCATCTCTTACTAGTCACAACTTGAAGCCAACCAACTCTTCAGACTTCAAATCCAAATAGCTTAGTATAATATATCTTATGTATTCTTTTTTTTTAGTAATTCCAGTGACCTAGTAGATCATATATTTCTCTATATATCTTGTAATCCAATTTATCTAACAATTCTTATAAAGGTATTTTATGAGTTTCTATTAGTCCAATAATATTATTAAAAATTTATACTACCTCATTACTTGTAATTTCCAAGTGGGTTTCTATATTCTTAGTTTCTTAGCCTTTTATGCCTAGTTGTCTTATTATAGATTTGTACTAAAGTCTTATATAACATCAGTTTTTTTATATTTTTTTATATATGTGTAATGTTATACTTCTTATAGATGCCTCAAGCTTCCAATATTAGATAGGACTAACCTGGTATACCTAAGATTACAGATGCCCAAAAGCCAACTGATGGCAAAAAACAGTTACCAAGATATAGGTATAATTTTTAAAATTTATTATTCATAAAAATTGAACCTTAGATCTGCTATTTGAGAGTTAACAATCTATTCACTTAACTAAATTATCACTTTCTCAATAATGTTAAGATATATAAGAACTAATAGATATAATAGATATAATATATATAAAAGATATAGTAGATATATAAGATATTATAAAAATGATAAAAATAATAGATCTAATAAAAATATAATATCTATAATATCTGTAAAAACTATTAGATCTGTAAGAAATATTAGAATTCTAGTATAGGAGAGGTATAGTAACCTAGTAAAGTGGATAGGTTGTCAATTTTCAAGTGACAAGTTTAAAGTTCAAATCCTAGTAATGATAACAATTTGTAATTTTTTTTGTATTACAATTAATTGTTTTCTATGATTAATTAGAATAAGATACCTGTAACCTATATTATACCAATATGACTAAAAGATCTAAGTACTCATACAACATTATATAAAGAAATACAAACTGGTACTGGACAGTGTGAACCCAAAATAAGTTCTTAGACTATGTAAATCATAAGAACCAGATAGGAAAATGGAAGTCCATTTAAAAGATCTGAGTAGAGAGATAATCTAAACTTTTGATAGTATTATTGTAAAAACTAGATTTATAAAATAGAATTAGAACTTGTAAAACTAGGCAAATGTACCAATCTTTGAGAAGGAACCAAAGGAACCACCAGGTCATCAGAATTTTAAGATTTTAGAAAAAAAGAATACATATTAGCAAACATGTAAACCAAAGGTGTATGATTATAACTTATCTTTTCAGACTATCTGAAATAACAGCTTAGTAGAACTTGAATTGAATACCAAAATAATAAGAATATATTGTGAAGTCAGTATTGGAATTGAAGTAAACTCTATAAAGATATAGCAGTTTAATAATATGTCCTAATTGTTAGTATTGATCTCAGCTATAGTGATACTAGGTCAGCTATAAGAATAGAATATAGAAGATTTTAGAAGGTTTAATACAAGATCAAAGATTCCAAAAAATTGTTTTAAAGACTTAGTGAACATGACATATTTTTATTAATATTGGTTGAAATTATCGGTAGACAAAGGTAAGTAAATGAATATGAAAACTAAAGTAGTTAACTAGAAAATCTACAAGCAGATTTCAGATATAGCAACTAATATAGAACCTTCGAGCAGACTACTTAAATTAAATAATAATTAAAGTTGTACAAATGACTAGTTGTATACTCTTTCTATAATTACTTTCTGTGATTGTAATGTAACCATTAGCCAAATATACTATCAATAAAATTCTGAATCACAAGTACTCACCTTAATATCTAAAAAAAAAAATTTCCAGTACAATAATGAAAGCTAATCAGAATTAAGTTATATGTATTAAAATTAGTATTTTCATCAAAATTATTCCTATTTTATTATCCTATAATCAGAATTAAATAATCTTGTACTTATTAGAACCATCTCAGTAAGTTGAATCTAATAGTAGTTATTTACCCAAGTTGGTTTAGTACATCAAAAGTAATGATTAAAAATGTGTAAAACTCTTAATATTAACAATATATATATTTATTATATAAGCTATGTGCTGTGTTTAATTAACACAAGCAAATATTTCATTTATCAATATAGTTTAGCTTTTGTTAGAATATTAAAGAATTTAGACTTTGTTAAGAACTTTGATCTTTGCTAGGAGTTTGTTTTTTATCAAAGTTTCATTCTTTGTTAGGAGTTTCATCTTTTATCAAGAATTTTATCTTTTGGTAGAGTTTCATTAATTTGTCTTTTATCAGATTTGGGTTTCATCTTTTATTATTTTCTAAAAACAGTTTCATCTCTAACACTAATATCACACATGTGAAATTTACATATTAAAATTATGTGAAATTACATGTATTGTAAGTTTGTAAAATATAATTTTTAATCCTATGTTTCTGGGCTAATTTTACAATTGCACAGACCCAAATCATAAATTTTCTATTTTTGCAATTAAAAATTAAAAAAAAATGAATTCTGACTAAAATTATATATAATGTGATCAGAAGTTTGTTGATTACAGCTGTTGGCCAATTAAAATTAGATCCTGTGTGGGACTTTTTGGAGAAAAAGCAATTTACCCATCTCTACACCTTAGTCTTTATACATTTCATTATATATTTTTTATGTATAACCATTTCGATATTTGTACTTTTTCTATTGATGTATATGCTATATTTGGCAAATTTCAGGTTAATATTATTCACATTATAATAATTAATCACAATCTATATTAAATAAACTGTACAAGCAAAGCGTGTTGTTATCAATCAAATTATTGGCAACAAATGGCGGACCTAACAAAAATGGTAATTGGCTCATTATGAAAAAAATTAAATTAGAAATATGTCAAGAAATATTCAAGTTATATATACATGTGTACTGATACATGCTTGAACATGTAAATTTAATAACAAATTAGGAAAATCGAGCCAAATAGCAAATTAAGGAAAAATCAATCCACATATAGGCGAAGTCCCATACGCAATTTCTAATTATACACATTGATACTGTATACATAAATGCAGACTTATGCAGACTTATGACATTACTTAGCCACGTCTATATAAAAACCAGGTTATAAAGTCCGTAACTAGAAATGCATCTAGAAACAAGTAATCATATGATGCATATAAAAGGAAATACCCAATCAAAAGCACGTATTTGCGCAGAAACACTTGGTCAACAGCATGCCGAAAAAAAAAGTTAAACGGTTTAATTGTCAGGAATGATGCTAAACCAGACGATACTGAAGTTTTAGCTTATTTTATTATAAATTTTAAAGGTTTTTTGAGGTGTTTTGTTCAAGTTTTTTTTTTATAGTTAGACGTTAATGTTTAAAATAAGAGAGTATAGGGTGGATTTTAGCAAGGTGTATTGTTTCAAATTAAGGTCCCGGATTTCAAAATCATCCCTGGCACACATTGAAGAACCGCTATCAAAGAAACCTGTGACGTAGTCTATAGCTTTACCTAAACCTTAATTACCCGGACCAAGTCTTTCCATCCTCGATCATAGCCTTAGCATTATCAGGGTTTGGTTAGAGTAGTTTATTTAGTATTTAACATTGTGTTGTAGTGTATTTTTGTATCACATAGCGAATCTCACTTCTACAACGTATGTACTACATTCAATCAGGTTTAAAAATTCATTGTGCATGTATTTTTTATTTGTACAATGAGCTGTGTAATTGCATATCAAAAAAATTTTTGCTATTAATTTGTCCTTTTTGGTATCTTTGTTACATTGTTCATTTTATCTTACCAAAGTCAATAAATAAAGAATCTTTTACAATTACAATATCAACTATCGCTGCACTTTCATATTTTAATCTTCAATAATGAGTCAAAAAATTGAAAGCTTGTTAATTCAAACTGATACTACAAATAAAAATTCTCCAACTCTCGTCGATGACTGTCTCTACCTTATTTTGGGGCTACTCACAACAAATAAAGATTTGTACTCTTGCATTTTGGTTGATAAGTCTTGGGCCGCCATAGCTGTACCAATATTATGGGAAGCTCCTTTTCGAAATGATCGAAGCTTCGTTCCATCTCCTAAAGTTATTGATGTCTATATGGCGTTTTTACCCGAAAATCAACAAGGAATTAAGCTTTCGCCGTCTAGGATTCCTTTTGACTACCCTTCATACCTCAAAGAACTACCGTTTGATCGCTTTTGCAATGCTATTGGTAGAAAGGATTGTTTTAGACCCATAGATCAAGATCTTGTAATCAAATTACTTAAAATGTTTGCTTCCCATGGTGCAACTTTACGAAGATTTGATATCTGTAGTTCTTTAGCTAATCAGGATATTCTAAAAAAAGACTGGATAGCACTTCCTAGTAACCCTGAACTCTCTTCAATGTTTGGCAATGGTTTAACACATTTTACTTGTGGTATTCAATGGTCAACTAAAAAGGTCAATCTCTTTAATGCATTAGCCTTAAATTGTCATAATATTAAAAATCTTAAAGTTAAAGTTCAGAATATAGATGAAGGAATCGCATTAGCAAAACTCATTCTTGCTCAAAAACAGTTAACCAAGTTTTCTTTATTAAACAGTAATCTTGCCGCATCAATAGTTGTTCAAGCTCTAGCAAGACATACAAAATCTCTTAACTGTTTGTCGTTTAAACTTATGATTACCGGAAAAGGATTTTACAATACACCTCCATTTTTTAATTATTCAAGTTGTCAATTAGGTACAAATGCTATTAATGCCATTGTTCAATGCGTTAATGTTACCAAATTGTCGTTTAAACAATGCGATGGATTGAACATTCCTAAATATGATCCTATTAGCACTGCTTTTCCAAATCTGACAACTTTAATTTACAGATTTGGTGGTCATAAGGATCATGATAATGCAACTCCTTTAAATTTATTATCCGGTCTTGTTAGAACAAGCTGCAATACCCTTGAAATGATCGACTTTTTTTGGAGCATTAGTATTGATAGTGAGATTCCTGATATGTCTCAACTCATTCAAGCAATTACTCAATGCACAATTAATCTCAAATGTCTAAATATTCCACTTTATACTGTAGAACAACTCTCTTTAATTTATCAATTTTGTGACAAATTAGAGAATCTTAAAATCAATTTATTCAAAACAGTTAATCCAAATAATGCATTAAGAATTTTTGCGAATAAGTCACACGATAATCTTAAAGCTATTAATATTTTGCTTTACATGCATGAACATGATGATAAGCTTGATGAACTTCAATTGGATCAGATTTTTAATAATATTTTTCTCAAGAATAAACAAATTAAAATGTTCATTTTAGATGAAATTTACGTACCAAAAATTTCAGACGAGAAAAGTGCATTGCTGCAAAAAATGTATCCAAAGCTTAAGATACTAAAATTTTGTCGTTAGACTAGATTTATTTATTAATGAAAAAACTTTGATATAATTAATTTATGAAATTTTAGTTTATCTTGATTTATTTATTCATTTTCATATACTATGTTACTTCAAACGAAATTAAAAAGTAAAACCTGGCATTCTTGTGTTGTGCTAGTATTCTTTCGATATAAGTTTTAGCGAAATTTTTTTTCCAGCCAGATGACTCACCATAACAAGAGTGAGTTGTATATGTAGTGTTCATAAACAGAAGATTGTTTGACTAGCTAATAAATTCAATTGAATTTTACATTATTTATACAGTTTAGAATGTTTTTAATAAAAAAAATAAAAACCAATGAGTTGGGTCCCATAGCTTAGTTGTTAAACTCTTATCTTCTCACAGACATGATTAATTATTTGAGTTTGACTAGAGGTAAAATACTCTATGACTAAAAATGAACTTATAATCAGATGCAAAACTCTGTAAAAGTTCAAGTAAAAGTACATATTTGATCTAAGAAATTCTCAGAAGAAAACCAGTATAGCAGAACATGAATACTATTATAGTGAGAAATGTGAAGAATATCATTAATGTTTATAAAAGGAATTGCTTTATCTAATATAAAATCACCTTTAACATCATAAATCCAAATATGTCTAAACATGGATTCTATTTCCATTTATTAGAGTTTGTATTGAGAACAAAATAACCCTAAGTTCTGTTATTAAAAATTAAGTTAGTATTATAAAAAAACATTGAAAATAAGAGATGTTAAATAGAGAACCTATAGGTAAATTCTAGGTATGGTAATTAGTAGATAATCTGCAAGCAGAACCTTTAAATAAATAATTACTAGAGTTGTATATATTGCTATTATAGTTTTATTGTTATGCAAAATCTAATATTTTTTGCATATTTGTAGGTCATAAGTTTTAATAAATATTATAAGATCACAAATATCTTTCATTAAACCTGGAAAAAACACTTCTTAAAAACTAACTATAATAAAATAAATAAAAAAAACCTATATAGAAGATTTCATTAAAGTTATAGAATTTTTATAATCAAAAATAAGGTTTAATTCTTGTCTATTTTAAAAAAATTAACTTAATAGTAAGTTGATCTAAAAAAGTTATTACTATATTGATTTTTTAAATAAATAAAAATTAGATCTTATTTGTAGTTATAAAATTCTACAACTCTAATAAAACTTTCTATACAAGTTTTTTTAATTTCAATATGATTAGCTTTTATTTTTTTAAAAAGTACTCTAAACTATATAAATAATATAAAATTAAATTGAATTTATTAACCAATTGATAAACTTTTGCCTATGATATATTGTGTATAAAATTTAAATGAAAGTTTGATTTTGAGATAGTAGAAAAAACTATTGATGTTATATAACTGAATCTTAACCTAATATGCAATATATAAAAAATTTATTTTACAATACCAAATCATTCTACTAGTATTATAATCCTACACTATTTTATTATAATAAAATAATATAGAATTCTAATTATAACATGTATTAGTAGAATAATCTGGTATTGTAAATAAATTTTTTATATATTGTATACTAAGTGAAGGTTCAGTCATATAACATTAACAGTTTTTGTTTTTTAAGATGCATCAGAACAAATTAACTTATTATGTATATGTTAAATTAAAATAATAATTTAATATTTTATAATATAGTACAAAAATAAATTTATTAACCTATAATTTTATATTATATTATTATATATTTATTTATTTTGACAATTATTTTTATATTCAAAATTCAATTTTATTGCAACATTTGTTAGTATCATAATTACTTATATGCTTGTACATAATTTTCATAAAAATATTAACTGTATTTTAATTTTGTATAGCATTTTTAAAAAATATATAATATGTTGAAATATGTTCTAATTTAGAATATTCTATTATATCTAATAGCTTAAATTTATTTAAACAATATTAAATGTTTAATAATAGTTCAACTTATTTTTAATTTTAAGTAGGACATATAGATCAATTTATATTAAATTAATCAATATTAGATATTTATATACTAATTTAATATATTAATTTGTATAAGCTGCATAGGTCTCTACAATTCTTTGTAATACTTGGTAGAGGTTTGATTGGGTTCTACAACTTAACATAATTCAGTTCACAAATTTTTGCAGATTATGTCAGGCTTAAAGCAAAATTTTCTAATTACAAACAGAATTAAGCTAAAAATTTTGTAAAATTTTATAATTACAAACTGAGCCAAGCTAAAAAGTTTGCAAAATTTTATAATAAATTTTATAGATTATATTAAGTTAGATCAGGCTTAAAATAAAAATTAATATATATAGGCTGAACTGAACTGACAAAAAAATTTTAACTCTAAATGTAAACTAGGTCAGATTAGTAAAAAAATTTTAATCCTAAATGCAAGCCAGGTCAGATCTCAAAAATAAACAATTTGCAGATCTCTAATACTTAGTATTTTGTTATTTTTAATTATTACTCTAGCAATTGTTATGAGATATTGTAAGCTTTAAAATCAGTACTATCATTATTACAGTTATATATAATATATAATTGATTATTTAATTTAGATCTCATTACCTATTTGAGTAACTAGTTATATAAAAAGTAAGATTTATCTTGTTTTTCTTATTTTTATTACTTTTATTACATTTATTACATTTATTACTTTGAATAGATCAATGGTAAAAAGGTTTTAAGGATAATATAATGTAAATAAATAATAATAAAAAAATTATTCTTAGTTGTAAATAAAACTTTTATTATAAATAAGGGCTTTCTGCTTAGAAAGTATAAAAAAATGATACTTTCAAGTTAATACATTTGCTAAAATAAAACTAAAATATTGGATCTATATTAAAAATAAATTATAACCCAATTCAAACTAAAAACTATTATTAAAACTCTCATTATATATATTATTTACCTATTTGTAAATTATATAAAACTATATTTTGATCATTTACTATAAGTATGTGACCAAGCCATTAATGCAAGAGAAGAATCCAAACCTGATTTAACATATTATAATCCTAAGTAAGAAAGTAGAAAGAAAAAAAAAATAAGAGTTAAAAAAGAATAAGTTAAAAAAAAGATTTAGAAGAAAAAAATAATACTTACCTATAAATAAACTACTCAGCCAAATCTAATACATCTATTTTAACTAAGTCACTGTAGGTTATATAAAAATTAGAAGAAATTAGTAACAAACTTACTAATTTATTATGAACAGTATATAAAAAATATTAGAAAGAAGAATTAATATAAAGAATTAAATATATATAACAAATAACTTATATTACAACTAAATTATTAAAATAGTGGTATTAAGGTCCTGTATCCTAGTAGTCTAGATACTCTGCTCTTTACAAACAAAGTAATGATTCAATTCCAGCTAAAGACAAAAATTCTGTTATTTATAAAAACATATAAATGTATATAAAATTCTATAGTTAAGTCTATATAATAGAAGATTGGTATATAAAAAAGTTTCTAAAAAAAAGTCTTCAAATATAAAAAATTAATGCTTAATATAAAAAAGTAATAAATATACCAGAATAAAAAGAAGTTATACTAGCAGATAATACAGTAAATATAAAAAAAACTATGTAAAAGAAATGAACTTACTAAAATTCAAACATCTTTGATATTAAACTAATTTTAATAGATATAGAATATACTAAAATTAAATAAAATCTAAGAAGTAATCTTGGTATCATACTTAGTAAGTTTGTGTCAAGAGTAAATTTAAAGAATTATGAATACTTAGTAATATTCAATAAGGTGGTACTTTGATATAAATAATAATTAGATAGCCTTAACTTGTTTTATCATAATAATAGTAATATACAGTATTGCATATATGAGGTCTTTGCAGTAGAAAGGGCAGAAACTCAAATATATATATTTTGAAAAAATCAATTTTAAAATTTTGATCACATATAAACAAATCAAGACAAAAATAAAATATCCTTACTGTAATACTAAAAATAAATTGCCAATAATTATCAAAAATTTAATAGTTAAAATGTACTAGTATTTTGATTTTTATCTTAGTTAAATTTTTTTTATATGATAAAATTACAAAACTATTAATATTAATATTTTTTTTTTCTTTTCTAGATTGAAGTTTAAACCTGAAATTGGTACAAAAGCTAAGTACCAAATTTTTTTTTCTTGTTATTTCTATTTTTTTATTCTTCTAGCTAGCTAATTTTTTCTTTTTTGTAGGTAAATAAATTTTGAAATAATGCTAGAAATAGAGTCTAGATCTGAAACTGGTACAAAAGCTAAATACTAATAATTTTTTTTCTTTGTTATTTCTTTCTATTTTTCATTGTTCTAGTTAGCTAATCTTCTATTTCTTATAAGTATCTGGATCTTGAAGATATTATCAAAAATGAAGTCTAAATCTAGAAATAATACAAAAGCTAAGTACTAGTAATTTTTTTCTATTATTTTTTGTTCTTCTAGCTAGTTAACCTTTTCTTTCTTGTAGATATGTGAATCTTGTTGAAAATGAAGTCTAGATCTGAAACTGGTATGAAAGCTAAGTACTTGTAATTTTTTTTTGTTACCTTTTTCTATTTTTTGTTCTTCTAGCTAGCTAACCTTCTCTTTTTTGTAGATATATAGATTTTAAAAATGATACTAGAAATAGAGTTTAGACACAGGAATGGTAGAAAGCTAAGTACTAGTAATTTTATTTTCTTTGTCACTTCTTTCTATTTTTTGTTTTTCTAACTAGTTAACCTTCTCTTTCTTGTAGATTTAAAAATGATGCTGGAAATAGAGTCTAAACTCAGAAATAGTATGAAAGCTAAATATCTATAAATTTTTTTTCTTTGTTACTTCTTTTTATTTTTCATTCTTTTAGTTAGCTAATCTTCACTTTCTTGTAAGTATGTAGATCTTAAAAATAATGCAGAAAATAAAATCTAAACTTGGGAATAGTACAAAAGCTAAGTACTAATATTTTTTTTTTTTTATTACTTCTTTC